CCTTCAGTCCCCGCTCCCCTTGGCCGCCCAGCCTGCCACCTCCTGGGCCGGGGTCCCTGGAAATCGGGCTCCTAGTTCCCTTTGGACGCGGCTCCGAGGCTGCTCTGGGATGCTCTGCGGGTGGGAGCGCTGTCCCGACCCCCGCCCAGTCCTGCCAGGCCTCCTGGGCCGGCCTGGGGCTCCCTGCAGCTCCCCGCGCATTCCTGCAGGCGCTGCACATTCCCTGGGACTCAGAACTGGGGCCTAGCACGGCCTGCCTCCTCTGCCCGTCCTCCCCATCACCCAGCCTCCAAATCCTGGGCAGGAAGGAGTCTGCTCGGCACTGACCAGGAACCACAGAGGAGCTAAGCTTGCTCTGGTTTTGGCGCCTCCTTCCTCCCCCACACATACCAGAGGCAGGGAGGGGCCTGGAGTAGTGTCTGCAAAGCCCCTCAGGACTCAGCAATGTGGGCGGGGGGTCAGTGCATTTCCCCCTTCAGATCCCGCCTGGGGGGAGGCAGCCAGCGTTTGCACCTGTGACCCCTTTGTGTAACTGGGGAAGCTGAGAGCCAGGTGGGCTGTGATGACCAGGCCTCCAGTTGCATCCTCCCCACCTCCCTTCATGCAGCCCTGGGAGAGCTGGGGGCTGTTGGGATGGGCAGGGCTGACCCGGGCTTCTGCGCCCTGCAGACATGTCCTTCCGCAAAGTGGTTCGGCAGAGCAAATTCCGGCATGTGTTCGGGCAGCCGGTCAAGAATGACCAGTGCTATGAGGACATTCGAGTATCCCGTGTCACCTGGGACAGCACCTTCTGCGCAGTCAACCCCAAGTTCCTTGCAGTGATTGTGGAGGCCAGCGGTGGGGGCGCCTTCCTGGTGCTCCCCCTAAGCAAGGTGGGCCCCATCAGGGCTGGGGACTGACCAGGACCCACAGAGGAGCTAAGCTTGCTCTGGTCTTCCTCTGGTGCTGGGGCCGGTTTGAGGCAGCTGGGCCACACCTGCCAGGCCTTTCTGCTCACTTCACATCCCATATCTTGCCCAGCCCAGCTGGGTAGGTGTCATAATCCAGATTTACTGCCCAAGAGGTGTTAGCACAGACGGAGAAAGTCTTTTATTGCCGCTCAGTCAGGGTCAAAGGCAACAGGTGTTTCCTGCTCACCTGGGGATGCCCGTGAGGAAGAGGTGGGCCGGGAAGAGGCAGTGAGAGTCACATCTGGGCCACCTGTGGGCCAGGCCAAGCGCACCCTTCTCCCTCTAGGGAGGGGAAGGCTCAAGCTCTGGGAGGGATGGAGCCTGGGGTCCTTGGGTTCCCCTTGACTGCTTCCCTCGTGCCTGCAGACGGGCCGCATTGACAAGGCCTACCCGACAGTGTGTGGACACACAGGGCCTGTCCTGGACATTGACTGGTGTCCCCACAATGACGAAGTCATCGCTAGCGGCTCGGAGGACTGCACAGTCATGGTGAGGCATGGGGCTGTGGTTGGGTCTGGGTCGTGGTGGTGGCTCGAGGCTGCCAGCAGCAGGGCCAAGCAGGGGCCTCAGCCCGCGTGCCTACCCCTTCCGCAGGTATGGCAGATCCCGGAGAACGGGCTGGCCGCCCCGCTGACAGAGCCGGTGGTGGTGCTGGAGGGGCACACCAAGCGAGTGGGCATCATCACCTGGCACCCGACGGCCCGCAACGTGCTGCTCAGCGCAGGTCTATGCCGCTCCCCACCCGCCCCCTCCACGTGTAGCTCTGGAACACCCCACATCCTCTCCCGGGAACGCTGAGGCCCACGGGGTCTGGGCCCAGGAGGGTGGTCAGAGCTGGCCTGCTGGGCTGATGCCCCCTACCCGGCAGGCTGCGACAACGTGGTGCTCATCTGGAACGTGGGCACGGCGGAGGAGCTGTACCGCCTGGACAGCCTGCACCCCGACCTCATCTACAACGTCAGCTGGAACCGCAGCGGCAGCCTCTTCTGCTCCGCGTGCAAGGACAAGAGCGTGCGCATCATCGACCCCCGCCGGGGCACCCTGGTGGCGGTGCGTGGCCCTGGAGGGTGAGGATGCCAGTGGACAGGCCGAGGGGCTCTCCTGGGGCACTGTGCTGACCGCTCTGTCCCCCCACAGGAGCGGGAGAAGGCTCACGAGGGGGCCCGGCCCATGCGCGCCATCTTCCTGGCAGATGGCAAGGTGTTCACCACAGGCTTCAGTCGCATGAGCGAGCGGCAGCTGGCACTCTGGGACCCAGTGAGTGGCCGTGGCCAGCCAGAGGGGACAGGCTTGAGACTTGGGCTCCACCCTGGAGGGACCTGTGGTTCCCAGGTTCTCAGCCTGGCACCTGAGGCTCTCCGGCCCCAGAACCCCGCCAGCCTCTCCTCTCCCAGCTACTTCTGTGTCTTTGCCCACCTTGTTCTTGCCAACTGAAAGGCCCTTCTTTCCTTTGCTTGCCTGTTTGCACTCAGCTGCAGAGGCCCCCTCCTCTAGGAAGCCTGCCAGTGCTTTCTCTGAAGTGCTCTGTCCCACAGCCCTATGATTCTGTATAGTGACCTCCGGGGGTCCCTCTGAGTTGGGCTGCTGCTGCCTGGCACCCCTGGTTCCTGCATGGTGGGGACTTTCTCTGCACTTGCTCAGTGGCCTGGGAGTTGGTTAAAGACCTGGAAGAGGCTGGGAAAGTGGGGCCCTGGGAGTTGAGGGGAGCCAGCAGGCCTGGTGGGGCACACTGTGTGGGCAGAGGCTTAGAGGTGGGAGAGAACCCACCCGGCATCGTAGGGGCAGCACTGGCTGGCGTGGGAGGCTGGCTGGGGCCCAGTCCTGATGGGGGGTTGGGACGGTGACAGGAGAGGGGAGGTTCTGGCTGGCCTGACTGTCCCCCACCCCACGTGCCAGGAAAACCTCAAGGAGCCCATGGCCCTGCAGGAGCTGGACTCGAGCAACGGGGCCCTGCTGCCCTTCTATGACCCTGACACCAGCGTGGTCTACGTCTGCGGCAAGGTGAGGCTGGGCAGGGCTGGTGGGGGCGGGGAAGAGGGATGCCCGAGGGCTGACCCCTGCCCCCTCCCGCCCCGCAGGGTGATTCCAGCATCCGGTACTTTGAGATCACAAACGAGCCCCCCTACATCCACTTCCTGAACACATTTACCAGCAAAGAGCCCCAGAGGGGCATGGGCAGCATGCCCAAGAGGGGCCTGGAGGTCAGCAAGTGCGAGATCGCCCGGTAAGAAGGGCCACCAAGGCAGCCGGCTGTAGGCGGGTGGGTCAGCCTGGGGGCAGGAGCCAGGCTGTGGGCATCCAGGGTGAGAGGTCAGATCATAGGAGGCTGCACAGGAGCAGGAACTAGCCCACAGCGGGGCCCAGAGTCAGGGGTCAGTCTGTGGGAGGAGCTGAGGTGAGGCCCGGAAGTGGAGAGTGCAGGGAGCCCGGAGAGCTGGTGACGGGGCATTCCACCCATGGCTCCCCCTCCCTCCCTTTCCCAGGTTCTACAAACTGCACGAGCGCAAGTGTGAGCCCATTGTCATGACTGTGCCAAGAAAGGTGAGGCCGCCTGGTTCCCCTGCCCACCCGCTGCTCTTTTCTCGGGCAGACAGGCCACGCAGGGGGTACTGGAGTGAGGCCTGTGAATGGGCCATGCCAAGTGAGGGGGTGGTCAGTGGGCTGGACAGACGCCAGCATGGCCCTGTACCCAGCCAGGTGTGGGGCTGTGCTGGGCAGGGGGTGAGCAGGATGAGATGCAGTGTGAGCTGAGGCCCTGCCCTGGACGAGCCACAGGAGACAGACAGACACCTGCTGGCCACGGAGGTCTCCCTGTAGGAGGCAGGACGGACAGCACGGCTGGGGCGGGGCCCTCCAATGGGGGGCAGTAGGCCAAGCAAAGGGCGTGGAGGTGGGACTGGAGCATGGCTGCAGTGGAGGCTCCCATGAGGAGGGGAGCAGGCCACGTGTGGCTTGGCCCCAGATGCCCAGCCAAGAGCCTTGGACACACGTTTTTCTCCAGCCGGCGTGTACTGAGTGTGCCATTCGGCGTGTCAGGCATGACCCAGGAAGCAGAGCTGTGAACGAGGCTGACAGGGCCTGCCCCAGGGGCTCCCAGTCCATCAGGCGCAGAGGGGGCTCCCAGAATCCCACGCAGCCACTAGCTGGCCCCTGCTTAGGAAGGTTGGGGAAGGCTTCAGAGGGAGCTGTTCGCAGTGTCTGAAGAGAAGTGAAAGGACAGATTGAGCTTTAGAAAGGTCACTTGGGGCCAGGCCATGGGAAGATGGGTTGACAGGGTGCAAGCCTGGAGGCCAGGAGAGTGAAGAGGAGGTGGCCACCCAGGGTCCAGACAAGAGGACCCTGACGGTGGGCTCCCAGCTGACCTGGACCTCCCCAACCCGCTTCCCAGTCGGACCTCTTCCAGGACGACCTGTACCCCGACACGGCCGGGCCCGAGGCGGCCCTGGAGGCGGAGGAGTGGGTGAGCGGGCGGGACGCCGACCCCATCCTCATCTCCCTGCGGGAGGCCTACGTGCCCAGCAAACAGCGGGACCTGAAGGTCAGCCGGCGCAACGTGTTATCTGACAGCCGGCCCACTGTGGCTCCTGGCTCCACCCGCCCAGGGGCCTCCACATCTGCAGCCTCCACCATCGCTACCACCCCCAGCAGCAGCCTCGCAGGAGCCAGGGTATGTGCCCCGCAGTCAGGGGTGGAGTTGGGAAGCCCCACCTGTTGTCCCAGTCTGCTGTGTGTGCCTGAACCATTCTTTGTACCTCTCTGGGCCTCGGCCCTTGCCTGGTAGTAGATTTAGGGAGCCTTGCAGCTCTGTGACCCCTGACCCCCGTGATGTCCCTGCAGGATGCTGGGAAGCTGGAGGAGGTGATGCAGGAGCTGCAGACCCTGAGAACGCTGGTCAAGGAACAGGGGGAGCGCATTGGGCGCCTGGAGGAGCAGCTCGGCCGCATGGAGAACGGGGATGCATAGGACCACAGGCCCGGTGGATACCACTCCCCCTCACCTCCATCCCCCCATTCACTCAGCCTCTGCTGGCAGGTCACTCCTCGGGCTGGCCGCCCCCTGCCCCCACCGAGGGCCTCTGGGGCAGGCTCAGGGGCCAGTCCACACCCTGACCCATCCTGTGGGCCCAGGCTGGAGCTGCTGCCTGGCTTTTGTCATTGTTACTGTGGAGGAGTTTTGTACCGAGGCAAGCTTATACTCTGAGGGACCATCTCCCCCACCCCACCCAGCCCCCGGCTCCCTCCCTGGAGGAAGCCGGAGGGATGGGCTCTATATTTTCATTCCAAATAAAATTCTCTTTCTAAAAGCCAGTTTTGCCCTTCTGCTGCAAGGGTGGGGCTGGGAAAGGAAGTCTGGAAATCTGGGGGGAAATGAGCCCCGAAGGGCTCACAGAAGAAAGGTCTGGGGGCCACGAGCATCCCCATAGTCATCGGTTCCCTGAATTCTGCCAGGTAGAGAAACTGAGGCGGAAGACCTGTGGACACCTCTAGGGTGTGTCCTGCCTTGAGCTGGGTGCCCAGTCCCTCCTCTTGGAGGCCTGGTTACAGGCCTCATAGCCCCAGCCTCACCCAGTGAGACCTGTGAGCACCCGGTGTGGACCAGGGTGGGCCTGAGAGGCCCAAGGCCCCCACCAGGGTCCCGTGTCAGGAGGGCTGGGGGGGTGCTGTGGGCAGGAAGCGGAAGCGTCAAGTAACCCTTGGCTGCAGTTGAGAGCGCGAGAGCTCACTTCTCACTCAGCTCAGCCAGAGCTGGAGGTGGGCGTCCCGCGCTGAGGCCGGCAGACAAATGGTGAGGTGGAGGCCCCCTGGGTCCTTGGGGTGGGGGCGACAGGAGGTCAGGGCCGGAACGTCCGGGCCCCGGGAGCTAAGGAAGGATCCCCTGGGGTGGGGGGGGCAGGCAGGGACGGAAGCAACCGGTCAGGGGCAGAGGTGAGACCCAGGACGGGCATGGGGCAGAAGCTGGGCCTCTCACCCCTCCTCAAAGCTGGGCCTTCCTGGGAGTCAGGGTGTGGCCCCAGTGCCCCACTCCAGGCCCAGCCCCCCTTGAAGACCCCCAGATAGACCCTCTCACCTGCTCCTCTGGCGAGCTGGGACTCTGACACAGCCCCTACCTGCATCCCTGGGAGCTTGGGCGGACAGAGGCCAGGGTAGGGGGAGGCTTGCTTGCACCTCGGCACCTCTACCCCTCCCCCCATACCCCCCACCTGCTTGTTCCGACCGCAGGCTTCCTCTGGCAGCTGCACCCGCCTCCCCCAGCCCCCAGCAGGCCCCCAGGGACGGGGAGTTGAACGGAAACACTGCAGCTGGGGCAGTCCCATGGCTGGGAGGGAGGAAGAGGGGTCTCAGAAACCCCCATCCTGAGACCTGGCCAAGTGGAGGGTGAACAGTTGCCTGGGAGTTGGTCCCGCCATCCCAGGCCTCAGGGAGAGCAGCCCCAGCACCAGGCATGCAGGCTCCCTCCCTCCCTTCGATCCCACCCATCCCTGCCCGGTCAGCCAGGATGTACTGAGTGTATTCTGTGAGCCAGGAAGTGTTGAGGTGCCTGAGCCAGAAAGATCCCTGTCTTCCTGCAGCTTATTCTGGTGGGGGAGCTAAGACAACAAACCTAATGAGCAAGCAGAGTTATCGAGGGTGTTAGGAGTTGGGGCGTGGCGGGGGGCAGGGCGGGGAAGTACAGCAGGTAAGGGGCACTGAGAGGGCTGGGCTGGGCTGCGGGATGAACGGGGATGAACGTCAGGGGAGAAATCCAGGTCAGGTTAGGTGCACAGGTGAGCCATGTGGCTCTCGGGGGGAGAGAGCATTCGGAGCAGAGGGACAGCCAGGCCCAGACCCAGGGCAGAGGCCGGCTTACACGGTGCAGTGGGAGGGAGGAGTTCAGAGCATCTGGATCTCACAGGGCTTTATTGACCAAGTAAGGACTTGGGCTTTTCTGCTTACTGTCCCCGTTTCGCCTGAGAGGCAACCGAGGACCCCGTCACCCTGCCTCCCCCCACGGCCTGCCCCAGCCCCGGTGACGAGCCCTGCCTGTCTCCCCGCAGGACCTGTCCTGCGCCCTAGGGCTCGGGACACTGCTGGCCCTGCCAGGGGTCCTGGGCTCGGGTGGCGATGCAGAGCGGAGCGCAGGCTCCAACTCTGTCACCGTCGTCCTGCTGCTGCTGCTGCTCCTGCTGCTGGCCACTGGCCTGGCGCTGGCCTGGCGCCGCCTCAGCCGCGACTCCGGAGGCTACTACCACCCGGTCCGCCTGGGCGCCGCGCTGTGGGGCCGCACCCAACGCCTGTTCTGGGCCAGCCCGCCAGGCCGCTGGCTCCGGGCCCGCATTGAGCTGGGGTCGCCAGATGAGGACCTGGAGCGGCAGGAGGACGAACAGGACGTGGAAGACGACTACTACGACATGGAAGGTGGCCAGGAGGAGGTTGAATCCCAGGAAGAGGGGCAGCCAGGTGGAGAGGAGCCCAGCCCACAGCAGGTCCCAGGGCCGGCGGAGGAAGCACGTGACGGTGACGCTGGTGATGACAGTGACGCCGGTGATGCCGAAGGGGGCCTGGGTCTCAGCTCCCAGGGGCCAGCAGGCTCAGGGGGCAGTGCCGAGGCCTTGCTGAGCGACCTGCACGCCTTTGCTGGCAGCGCGGCCTGGGATGACAGCGCCAGGGCAGCTGGGGGCCAGGACCTCCATGTCACTGCACTGTAGGGGCCAGCCCTGGGGTCGCATCCCTGTCACTGTGCATCTGCTTCCCAGGCTGCCGTGGCTGGACAAAGCCTGCCCTGGACCCATCATCACCCACACCCCCACGTGGAAAGCCTCAGACTGTCACTCCCCCAACTAGTTCTGTCCCCAAGTCTGTGCATCCCTGCGCCCTCCAGAAGGCCACCCAGCCCCAGGGCCATTGGGCAGCCATCTGAAATAAAACCCCTCCAGCCCTGCGGCTCTGTGGTCCTGTAGTGAACCCTCCCATCCCCAAGGAGGGGCTCCTCCTGGCACGACCCCCCCCATTCCTGCCTCCAGAGGTCCAAAGGAAGAGCCAGGTCAGTGCCATGATTCAATCCTTTATTTCTCCAAGGGCACAGCTCGACTGCGGGAGGCCAGGTGGGTGAGGCCCCTCCACCAGCAGCCGTAGCCTGCACCCTTCATATTCATGATTCCGGGGTACGGCCACACCCAACAGAGACACGCACTCACACACACTCACTCCCGTGCCCCTAGGGACACCCCCAGGTCTCTGGAACGGGCCCAGGGTCCCGCTGCCCTCACAGCCTATGGGGAGGGGCCTCAGCAGCTGCCCTCATCCCCACCCATCCCCCTAGCGCCCAGGGCGCCCACGGCCTCTCTTGGACTTCTTGGTCCCTGAAGGGGGTCGGATGGGGAGGGGGGCAGTGCTCGAGGGTGGCGGTGGCGGTGGTGGCGGCAAGAGAGGAGGTAGAGGGGGCTCCATGGGCTCTGGTGTGCTGGGGCTGGGCCGGAATCCCTCAAAGGGCGAGAACTTCAGGGGGCTGCAGGGGAAACCAAGCGGAGTCAGCACCTACTGGCCCTGGGGCAGGAGGGCCGCCTTCCTCACGTGCCTAGGTGCCCAGGCTGTGAGGTCGAGTGCGCATCCAGGCAGCCCCTGCTGGGGTCCCGTGGTAGATGGGGAAATGGAGGTTAACACTGGTTAAGAGACTTGGCCAAGGCAGCCCCGGGGTTGACGGCAGAATCGAAGCTAGGACCACTGGAGCCCCCTGCCCCCAGCTCTAGGCTCCCCTCTGCCCTGCGGTACCTGATGGGGGTCCGGGGGCTGCTGTTGAGGCGTCTGGGGGAGCGCAGCTTAGGCTGGAAGGAGAAGCCCTCCTTGATGCTGTCCAGGACGGAGGGCGCCACATACGTGAAGCCCTGAGGGGCAGAGGCAGGGCCAGGCGACGCTCAGTGTCCACCACTCTTTAGCCACCATCCCCGCCTCTGTCCCCATAACTCTCAGGCCACCTCACCAGAAAGGCCTGGTTGGCGCTCTCACTGAGGGCCGTGTCGTCTGGACTGTCCACTGGCGTCTGCCGCGTGAAGTGGGTATCAAACTGGCTCACGTCCTCCTCTGACTGCTGTGGGCAGCCCCGAGAGGGGAGGGGTTAGGGGCGTCCAAGCAGGAGTCCTCCACCCGCCATGGGGCCCATGGGACCTCCACTCACCAGACAGGGCCTGAAAGGGGGGTCCACGCGGCGGGCCAGGAGGTCGTCCCAATTAATGTGCCGGAAGAAGGGGTGCCTCTGTGGGTAGGGTGCCCCCAAATGTGCCAACACTTCACCCTCCTTGGCTCCCTCAGTGGCTCCCTCAGTAACTCCCTCTGTCCTAAGGCCCTGCCCCCTCATGGTGGTCCCAGACCCACCTGCACATCGGCAGCGTCTCCTGGGCCACCCCCTATCCGCTGGCTGGGATTCCGCTTCAGAAACTGCAGGACAAGGGCAGACGGTGAGGGTCTGGGGAGAGGTCCTGCTCGTGTGTCCCCCTGTTCCCAGGGGCTGCTTGGGTGGGGAGAGGTGAGATGGGGTGTGGGGGAGAAGGCCTCTGGAGCGTGGTCTCCACCTACCGACACCCTCAGGACTTCCAAGGTTTGGTCCAGTGGCCCCTTCTTCATGATGCCTGGCTGCTGGCATCATCCCGGGGCACTTTAGTAGGGATCCATCTCCAAATCTGGGTCCAGGGGCACCTACCCCCCCATGTTTACCCCTAATGATTGCCTCTTCACTGGGAGAGTGGCGAGCTCATCCTGAACGTTTTGCTGATCAGGACTTGGACTAGGGACCTGTCCAGGGCCAGGAGCTGGTCTGCGTCAGAGTTAAGGCCCAAGCTCAGTGTCTTGGACCCCAAAGCCAGGGTTCCTGCATCCCAAAGGCCCAGCGTACAGGCAGGGATGGCTCCGGCTCCCCATGGCCCAGGGAGATTCAGGAACCCGTGCAGGACCTGGGAGAAGCAATGGGGGGCCAGACTAGGGGCAGGAGGGAGAGGGAGCCCACCTTTTTGACAAGGTCCCGGGCATCCGGGGTGAGGTAGGGGGGCAGTGCCAGCTTCCCTTTGATGATCTTGTCCATGGTTTTCTTCCGGTTCTCTGCAGTGAAGGGTGGCTGGAGAAGGCAGAGGGTGAGAGGAGACTTGTGGACCTCCCACCGGGCCCAGCCCCTGCCCCAGGAGGGGGCCCTCCTCCCACGCCCACTCCCGTCCTCCCAAGGAGGCTGGACTTGCCGATCCAGTGAGCATGTCGTACATCAGGGCCCCCAGGCTCCACCAGTCCACCGCCCGGTTGTGGCCACTGCGCACCAGAATCTCAGGGGCCCTGGGGGCCAGGTGGAACCGTCAGTCCAGCCAGGCCCTTCCTGGCTGTGCTTCTGACCCCTGGGCCCAGCCAGCTGCCACTTACATGTACTCAATGGTGCCACAGAAGGTGTGGGTGACGGCGCCCTCATGGATCGACTCCTTGCAGAGTCCGAAATCCGTGAGTTTGATGTGGCCTGAGGAAGAATGTTGGAGGGGGGTGCTCAGGGCCCCAGCCCCCGCCACGGGGCTCCCCAGCCCTCCCTGCAGACTCCGACCCACATGTGGGGTGTACGCGCACCCTGGCTATTGAGCATGATGTTCTCCGGTTTGAGGTCCCGGTAGATGATGCCTTGGGCATGGAGATGGCCCAGGGCCAGCGTGATCTCAGCCAGGTAGAAACTGCAGGGACATGACAGGGTGATGGTAAAGACGGGGGAGCCAGGCCCAGGGGAGGAGACCCCGGGAGCCCCTCAGGAGAGAAACGAAGGAACACCTACCAGGCCGTGTCTTCCAGGAAGATGCCCTCCCGCTCCAGATGTGTGAAGAGCTCGCCGCCTGCGACACAAACACGTCAGCAGCTGTGTGCCGGGACCAAGCTCCTTTGCTCTCTGAGTCTTGGTTTCTTCTCGGGGAGAGTGGGGCTCAACATTCCCGCCCTACCTGCCTCACAGAGCTGCCGTGGGGATTCAATTCAATCAGCAAACATCTACCGACGCCTACTCGGTGCCTGGCCCTGTGCTGGGCGAAGCTGGGGACACAGAGATGAAGAGACCCAGCCATCGCCCTCGGGACGCTCAGTCTAGTGGGGAGACAGACATGCACACAGCTGCTCTAATACGCCAGACGGAGGCAACGGCTCCGAGAGCTTAACCCAAAACATCTCACAGAGGAGATGGAGGGGGACAAAATTAATCCCGATGTGAGGAGAGAGAAAGTCCGTGGTAGACTTAAAGGGGATGCTGAGATGGCACACAGGGAATGAAGGTCACAGGGCTCGTCAGGTACAGATGGGATAGTTGGGAAAGGCAGGCCCGGACCGCTTTGTGGTGAACCGGGGACACCAGGCCAAGGGGGCCAGGCTTTCTCTGGGCAGTTACAGGGAGCCAGGGAATTCTGAGCAGGAGTGCTGGGGACAATCCGTGCTCTGAAGCGATGACCCTGGGAGTTAGTGGAGGAGACACTAGGAAGAGGGTGAGCTGGAGGCCTCAAGTCCAGGTAAGAAACAACTGTGCCTCCCCACCCCCCCACCCCCGCAAGAGGAGAGGATGGAGGACACTGTAGAGAATGAACCAACTGGATTTGGGACCTGAGTGGATGCAGGCACATGGCAGAGCGGAACAGGACATGAAGGAGTAGTGGAAATGGACGAAACAACCCTCTGGACTTCTATACAAACTCCCACCACTCCCATCCACCCCCAACACAGGTGAGGGACACAATAGGCGCTGGACAGATGTTTGCTGAATGAATGAATGAAGGAAGGGACGGACAGATGGTTGGATGGATGCATGTGGGGGCCCCCTAGCCATTCTATACACCACGTCTCTCCAAGCTTCCCCCAGACCCCCAGGGCTTCCTACGCTGGTTCCCTGACCCTGCCCACGCCCCTGCTGGGCCCGCACTCATACCACTGAGGCACTCGAGTATGAGGTAGAGTTTGCCACCAGTCTGGAAGGCATAGGCCAATTCCACAATGAAGGGGTGCTTCACTGACTCTAGAATGTTCCGCTCAGCCCGCGTGTGTGCCGTGTCCTTGGCGTTGCGCACAATTTTGGCCTGGAGAGACAGGGATCGGTTAGAAGTTGGGTACCCAGGGCTCCTTCAGTCCCTCCAGCCATTACTCTTCTGCAACCCTCTATCACTGCATGTTTCCCCATAACTCTGCTGCGATCAACAATCCTCCTGGTTTATCCTCCAGCATAGTGTTTTCAACCTTAGCACTATGACATTTCAGGCAGATAATTCTTTGTTGTGGGGGCTGTCCTGTGCACTGTAGGATATTTAGCAGCATCCCTGGCCTCTACCCACTGGATGCCAGTAGCATCCCCTTTCTAGTTGTGACTCAGAAATGTCTGCAGACATTGTCGAATGTCCCTTGGCCAAACTGCCCATGGTTGAAAATTACTGCAAAACAGTATAATCACAGTTGACAATAAACCAGCAAATGCAAAGACAGGGACGGTGTCCTCCATCAACGTTCACTGCTGTCTTCCCAAAGCTGGGTGTAGTGCATTGGGAATGGCAGCCACTCAGTAAGGATCTGTCGGCTGAAGAAATGACTCACCTTCCGCAGGACTTTCATGGCATATATTTTGCCCAAGTTGGTGCCCTGCACCTTTCGCACCTGGAACACCTGTGGGGCAGGGGAGACAGGATCAACTTCCCTCTCTACATTCTATCCTCAAAAAACTCCACCCTGAAGCTTTGGCATTGGGACCAAGAGGCCCAGGTCCACCCAAGGGTGAGGCAGTAAAGATCTCAGGTCTGAATCTGAGAGAGTTTGCCCTTCCCTCCTTTATGTTTTTGTGTCTGAGCTCTATCAGAGGCTAAGGTGATTTACAATCAAATTTGTTTTGAGAACCCTTTGCAGCAGGAAGACTGAGGCTGTCAGGCCAGTGAGGAAGGAGGGAGGGCCGGTACCTTGCCATAGCCCCCCTTGCCCAGCACACGCAGCAGCTCAAAGCAGTGGGGCCCGATGCGCTCGGGGCCCAGGTTCACACTGGTCTCAGTTAGCTCCACCTCCTCATAATGTCCTACGGGCCTATGGATACAAGAAGTTAATGGGGGCAAGGCCCGGGTCCCCTTCCCCAGCCCATCCCCTCCTCTCCCAACACGACCCTCACTCACTCCAGGCCAGCCGCCCTCGACTCGGCAAGGGGACACACGTCCTGTGAGAAACCGAGGGGTAAGAGCCAAGAGAGGTGCCAGGATCCCTCCCCCCGAAAACTGGCCCAGGAGAAGAGAGAGTCAGGAATGGCAGCTGGCAGGTGATGGGCGGGGACTGGGGAGGAGAGGCCGAGAGAATCAGGGGAAGACCTGGGGTCCTGGCAGACAGGTCGGGGCTTAATAGGGGCCGGGATCTGAGAAAGATCGGGGTCCGCAGGAGCGGAGCGGACTCTGGGTTGGGGGAGCGGGGCGATCCCACCGCCTGGGCGATGAGATCGGCCCCGGGATCGAGCCGCGCCCGGGCAGACCACTCACCGCGGGGCTCAACTCTGGCTCGCCCTCGCCCTCGCTGCCTTCCTCCGTCTCCAGGTCCAGGTCAAACACCGCCGCCATGGCGGCGCCGGCCCCGCGGGCCCCTCGGCCCGCACCTGGCCGCGCTCTGACTGACAGCCCCGGGCCCGACCCTTTACGTTATCATTCCGCGACGGCGGCCGCGCGCGCCGATGACGCAAAAGGCTTGCCCTCCCTCGAGTAGGCTGCTTAGCCTGGCGGGGAGAAAAGATGGCGTCCGTCGCAAGGCCTCTCGGGAATTGTAGTTCCAGAGTGCCGGGGCGCTAAAACCTCCCCAACCCTCTTCTGCAGGATCCTCAGTCTTCCCCGCACAGCTCCCCAGGGGCGGCACCGGACAGGGGTTGGCCTGGAAGGCGCCTATCTTGGCTCCGGGGAGAGTTTCAGTTTGGATGGGGCAGAGTCGGAAGCGCATGCAGATGTGAGTGTAAATGCAATTCCCAGTCCTGGTCTAGCTGTGTGCTGCCAGGCTGGCTGGGTGGCGAGAGGCAGGTCGTCTCCTCTCTGTTCGCTCCTGAAAGGGAGGCGGCTGCTTCAAGGTCTCCCTAACGTGCCCCCAGGCTGCAGGACCCTGCAGGTCAGAGCATTTAGTGGGTGACTGCCTTGTGCCTAGCTTACTGCCGGGCTTTGTTGCCAGGTTCCTCCAGAAAGGGTTTGGATCTCACTGATCCATCTGTAAATATGGGCTTGTGCTGGAGTTTGCTCCGTTGCCAATTTGAGCACATTTAGTAATTCGGCTATCTGGTACAGGACAGGCGCTTAATAAAACTTCGTTGAAAGAATGAATGAATGAGCACACCAAACCTGGTGTGTGACTTTAGATTTGGGTGTGGATTCTTGTTGGACGGGGCTCCGTGGTGGTGAATTTGGACCACACCAGGCTTTGGATGAGTCTTGATTGCCGCAGGCTGTCTGGATGTGATTCCAGTTGGACAGGGGAGGCTAGATATGAACTCAGATGGACAGAACTCAGGGGTCTCCAGGCTGGAGGAGGGTTATCCAGTTGGATGTTGCCCTCTGATTGTAATCGCACCCACAGGAGACCCTCAGGTTTGGGTCCTGGTGTGGGTGCCCCTGGCCGGCCCCTGCCGAAGGTCAACCTCAACGCCTGGCCACTGTGGCAGTTTATCTTTAGCTCCTGATGCCACAGGGATGCCCTAGCCACCCCTCCCTCCTGCCTTCCCCACCTCCCACCTAGATGAGCCTGAGAAGTGTGGTCCAAGTCACAAGAACCTATCCCAGACTCGGGACATTTCACTAGTCCATAAGCCTTTATTGGAGAGAGATGCTTGTGGAGCCGTCCATGGCTCCTGTGCTGCACAGACACAGTTCTTAAAGCAGCCTCCCCTGAATTAGGAAGGGAGTGTAGACTCTCCTCTGCCGATGCTAGTTAGGTGTGCCAGAGGCCAAGGCACAGAAGCTTGGAGGAGAAGATGCATGATGCATGGGAGGGGGGTGTTCACGCGCCTCAGGGCCACACAGGAATGAGGGCAGGGAGGTGAGCGGGGCCTAGAAGCTGAGTGGGCATGTAAGACTCAGTAAAAGCAGAAACCTGGACCTTGCAGCTTGTCCCTTGACCCTCCATCCGCTGTGGTACAACCTCGAGGCAATGGTTGTTCTGCTTTGAGCCCGCTTCCTCATCTGTAGGATGGCATGATAGTGTCTGCCTGGAGGGGAGATGATTACTGCTGACCCCAGGTCACCTGCTTCTACTGCTCAGGCCAAATGAGGCAGGTGGGGCACTGCCAGAAGTTGTCAGCAGGCTCTAGAAGTATCCTGGAATTTGTTAAATGAGGGAATGAGTAAGAGGACAGGGGGCTTAGTCTCAGGTTTTCCTGGGATCTGTCCAAGGCCAGGGGCCAGCCGGGTTCTCTCCTCCCTGAGACAGCAGGAAGAGAGAGACCTAGAGGGATGGGGAGTATGGGCTGGGTTTGGGCCCACTCCACCTCCCTGGGTACAGGTGTGTGTGTGTGTGTGCAGCTGTTGTCACTTCTCCACAGCTAGAGTCCTGGGGCAGCTGTGGGCTGGGGGCCTTTGGGAGGGCAAGAGGGCCCAGCGACCCCCCAGATACTTTCTTTTGCGGCCTTGAAGCCCAGGAGGCCTTGGTGTCAAAACCGCCCTGGCCCTCTGGAACAGACCTGAGGCCTTGGAGTGGGCCAGGGCTCTGGAAGAGAGGCAGGGAGAGCACTGTGGAGCAGAGGGCAGCACAGTGCCCCACCAGCACTTCACCCCTGCCCCCTGGCCCCAGTGCTATTTGAAGTGGGACAGGAAGTGGGCGACAGGATAGTGGGGCCCGTCGATGCCCAGGCCCTGGCAGAGGCCCAGCAGGCGGACGCGGGCCTCGGCCGGGGTGGGCCCAGCACAGGCCACACTGCAGTAGGGCTCCTCGTACTCCCCGGGTACCAGGGCCTCCTCCAGCTGATTGAAGCGCAGCAAGCCCCGCTCGTGAAGAGCCTGTAGGGTCTCTCGGCTTGCAGTGGAACTCAGCGCCTGCAGGTGCTGGGACACCAGGCACATGACACCCACCAGGTGGCCACGGGCGCGTGGGTGGGTGGGCAAGGCGGGCCGAAGGCCACAGGCCACCATAGCAGCAGCCAGGAGCAGGTCCACACCATAGAGCTCCAGGATCCAGTCTCGCAGGTAGAAGCCGCCCATGCGGGGGTTGATCTCGATGAGCCGCGGCCCAGCCCTGGTCATCTTGAGCTCCACGTTGAAGACCCCATCCAGCAGCCCACAGCCCAGGCAACAGCGGAAGGCTGCCTGCACCAGCTGCGCCTCCTGCTCCGGTGCCAGCCCAGTGGGCATGCAGGCTGCCGTCTCAGTGAAGCCAGGCAGCCTCGTGGGGCCATTGTCAGAGACAAAGGCACCCAGCAGTCGCCCACCAAACAACACCAGGTCCACATCGTGCTCGGTGCCCTCGACGAACTCCATCAGCAGCATGGCATTGCCCCAGCCCAGCCCAATGCCAGGGTGGTCGGCCTCGCCCTGCAAGTCACGGGCGATCCGGGAAAAGTGCTCGTGGCACTGCGGGGCATCCTCCACCAGCCGCACGCCCACTGCGCCTGCCCCAAACTCCAGCTTCATGACACCCGGCAGGGGCACCTGGCGGACGGCCCTCTCCACATCGGCCTCACTCTCCAGGGGGCAGCAGGGCACAGCATGGAGGGAGGGTGCAGGCCAGGGCGGGCCGTGGCGGCGCAACAGGTGCAGCTGGGTGCGGCTCTTCTGCTTGGCCAGGCGCATGGTGGCCGGGGGGTTGCAAGGCAGACCCAGCTCCTGGCAGAGCAAGGCTGTGAGCACCAGGCAATCGTCCCAATAGGAGAAGCAGCCATCTAGCTGCAGGCCGCGTGCCCGCACCAGCTCCGCCAGCAACCGTGCATTCTCCTCGTCCCTCTGGTGCTCTGTCACATCAAAGTGGATGAAGGTCTGCACCAGCTGGGACGCAAAGTGGTTGGGGTCTGACTCCACCAGGTGCAGCTGCAGAGACCACAGGAGGGCAACACACCCAGATCAGCCCACACTGGGCACTGGGGAGAGAGCCGGGGTCTAGAATGTGGTCCTGGCCCTCAGGAGAGATGGGCTCACCAACATTAAGGTACTCAAAAAATATTTGTTGATGGTTGAATAAATGGAAGGTGCAGAGGTGAAACACCTAACCCAGTCTGGAGGGGAGGGAAGGCATCCTAGGGGAGGCAGTGCTTAAGGTGGGAGCTGAATAAGAGTCAGCCAAAGGAAAGATGGCTGCAGGAGGGAGAAGGCAGAGGGGAGGGGTAAGGAGGGTGGAGGGCAGAGGGCAAGGGAGAGGAGGGCAGGTGGGCTCATTCCCACAGGCAGCCTCGCTCTGGCCAGGGCTTGTAGGGAAACTGCCAGGGTTGGGGCTCAGGACAGGTGGTCTGGTGTCTTTGGGTGTCACGCTCTTGGTCATTGTTCACCCGATGTGTTCGGACACTGGGAGGTGCCCACAGAGGAATCCCGTGGGGCCCCACGCCCCCAAAGCTCACTGCCCAGAGCGGGAACACAGGCACGAAGCAGCTGGTACCCAAGGCAGAGGCAGCCCCTGAAGAGGGAGGGGAGAGTGGCTGTCTGCACTGAGGCAGTTGGCAGCCTAAGGAGTGGAGAGACATTCCAAGTGGAGAACACAATGTACCAGGCAGGGAGTGAAGAGGCTTAGGAATGGCTAGAGGAGAAGTACCCAAGGGGCTGCTGTACTGTGGGAGAGGGGAGAGGAGGCCACTGTGGTAGATTGGAGCCAGGAAGAGCCTAGACATTCGGCCTCGGTTTTCTTATCTGTTCAATGGGGATAATGTCTACTCAGCCTGCATGGCTCCAGATTCTGTAATGTGAGGCCACTACTGTGAACTTGATTCGAGATCTGTAAACTGCTCCCCAGCACCCTCCTCTTGCCCTCAGGAATTCAACCTCCAAGGGCCTGCCCTCTGCAGGATAGGGCCGGGCTCTTTAGCCGGCATTCAAGGCCCTCGTTCTGGCACTAACCCTGAACGCCACCCCCGCCCCTCCAGCCCATCAACCCTGGGCTCCTCTTTTCCTGGAGGGTTCTGTGCCCTCCCTGAGGTGCCTCTTACACCTGGCGAGGACAGAATACGGCTAGGGGCAAAACGGAGTTTAGACTCCTAACCTGGGCCGGGCGGTGGGCCCGCCTGTACAGCTGGGCTCCGCGTCCCCAGCGAGAGCGCCCCGCGCAGGCCCCGCCCCAGAGGTGCTGGCCCCGCCCCAAAGCCCGCACCAGCCCTCGCCCGGGCCCCGCCCCCACCACTCAGGCCGGGACTTGGCGCCAGGCCCCGCCCCTCTCCCCGCCCACCTTGAGCCCGTAGTCGCGCGCCGCCTCCCACACGAACTTCTTGCTGACGCCGCCCGCGCCGATCAGCAGCAGCTGCTTTCCCTCCATGAGGCAGCGCGCCGAACGCCGCAGCATGGTCTCCACGAGCGGCGCGGCCGCC